GGTATTTTTTGGCAGATTGTAGCTTGGTTTGGTTGGGGGAGCAACGGAGCTGGTGATAAGATCAATTAATTTTCTGCGATTCCCGTTTTTGTAGGCACTTGCAAGTATATATTAAGCGTTATTTAAAAAGTTCAAAAAATGGGGCGAGCGGGGAATGAGAAAAAGAGGAGTGTAAAGTACACATGAAGAAGTAAGTGTTATTAGTGGTGATATGGCGAACGGACGGGTCTTACTCCAGATACTGGGGATGGGGAATACATTGATCGATGAGCATAACTCCAGTTGCTACCGGCAAATGTTTGCGGTAAGCCGTTCGCGCTTACGTACTTATGGATCAGTCACTTGAAGGAGTCAACTAATGTAGCTGTGGCTGCTTCTTTCACCAAATCATTCCATAAGGCACACACTATATTAGAAGAAGTTAAATCATACTCACGCCTTTACCCTATGGTGGGGGATTCTAGTGGTGTTCTAGCGAAACCGTCGGTTTTGAACCGATAATGTTGACTTTTTGGGTAGTCCATTTGGTGGATGGTCTTTTAGGCTGTCATTAGATCGCCCCTTTTCCTTCGATAGCTTAGTGTGAACGAGTTTAGTTATCTGAAGGTTGCACGTATATTTAGTCTGTTAGTGCGACAACGGACTTCGTCGCCGTTCTCTATACCTTCCTGAGAGTACTCTCATCTCCTTAGTAGTGGGGATTCTATCGTGTTGAGTACCTCTAGGTGTGGTCTAACATAGCTTTTAGATACCATGAAGAGTAATTCGTGGGTTAGCGCTCCAAGTTACCTTGGAAAATTCATGACAGCATTTGCTCTTCCTGCTATTCCGTTATGGTTGGCATTACTATCCAGTGTGTCAGAAAAGTTCAGTCTTAGGTCCTTCTCCATGGATACTCTAGTGATTGGGCACTTCTTGAGGGTGTAGCTGGTGTAGGTGTAGCCTTAAACTCCAACTGCAGCCAAGTACATGGATTTTGATTTGCTTTTATATGTCCTTGATGTTAATTTAGTTCAACACATCAATGCAACGCGTTTTGATCTGTTGCTTCTATACTCATGCGCTACGAGATGTTACTTCCAGTATTTGTTCTGATTGATGAATAGCAACACTATCCTTCCTTTTTAAGTTTCAAACTTACTACGTTAATTGCAATCCTGTCACTCGCGTGACCTAACAACTGGTATATAAGCATGTTGCCTATCAAAGACTGTATTGTTGCATTATTAGATTACAGATAGAGACATTTATGGAGGGTGCTTAGAAACGTTCATAACTAATTGTAGAAAAATCATTTCGCCGTTTATTCCTTGGTCTACTCTACGTAGACTTTTCTACTGCCTTCTTCGTGCATCGGTAAGAGTATTTTCAGTCTTCGAAGATGAAGAAAATAATTATGAAACTTATATTTAGAAAAAGATTTAAGGCACCCTCGACTATGTTTTGCAAAGTCAGAAACAGGCGTCTCTTAGTATGGAGTCTCGTACGAAATATCGAAGGTAACTTGTATATAATTATCAAAGCCGTTGTAAAAGGCCATTCTCATACTCTAAAAGAGAACTCAGTATATAGATGGTGTCTCGTCTCCTCTGTTAGGGTAGGATTCATATTGGTTGGTAGAATGCAATTATTCCAAAGCTGGGTGTCTTTTCTATTGCCTCAGTGATGTTTTCTCAGTACATCAAGACGTGAATACGACCAACGGTCATATAACATGCTTCGCCCATAAATCTAGTGCACATTACTTAAGAGACCATCTTTTAGTGAACGAATTTAACGAGAAACGAGATCATCTTAGATATTTGCTGCAGGAACTGGCATACACAAATAAGCCCACTATCGTCATTACTGAGGACCAAAGATCTAAATACAATACACAAAAAGACAAAAATGATATTAGTCTTGAATATTTGTAGTTCATTCAGGATCCTATCAACCAACTTGTCATAGAAGTTTCAACCCACAATAAAATTACGCAACTTTGTTGTCTTCGGTATTTAAAATTAAAGACCTCAGCATCTAGGTATGTCTGTGTGCTGAAATGCAGCTACTATAGTAAGGTCCCACTTTCATAAATGTTATGCTACATAACGACAACTCTATTTAATGTAGCTCAGGGAGGTAACGTGCATGCTTTAAAAATAATCTGATGGACTAAGTAGGCACTTTAGTGCTTGATGATTTTTAACTTTCTCTTAGCAACTCTCAAATCCCTTGTTGTTGTATTACCGTATGAGTAGAGATTATCTACGGTAATAACTACGTTTACGGTAAACGAAACGCATTCAGAAACCTTGTTCACATTCATACAGTACGCAGCAAATCACACTGATCATGTGATGGCCTATAATACTACCCGGTTGCACAAACCTTGGTAGGTGCTCGAATCCTCAACCCACTGGTTTGAATGTCAACTTCCTAAACCAATGAGTTGTGGCGCATTGCCTACTGCACGAACATACACAAAGTTGCTTAGTGTATTTTGAAATTTTCAACAAAAATAGAGCAGCAAATTTAGTTTAAGATGTTAGGTTTTGACCGTCTCACGAATTGTCAGATGACTAGAAGTGCGTATCCGATTGCGTGGTATCATCACTGAACTAATCAAGAAAAGCCTAAATCTTAATGCAGTGACTAACACTGGCCGGCTGAAAACAAATGACTAGAACAAGCGACTACATGCATGTTAGTGTTCAAAAAGAACCATGCTTAGTCAGTTGACGATACTACTTGGCTACACGAACCTTGGTGGATAGAACGGGGCTAGAACCTATGGCCCAATGACTGGAAGTTGACTACTTGGATCAGCCTATAGTTGCAATGTATAGTGAACAAAATGAGAGCATGTGCACTCACGTTCCTCTTGTTTTGAATCAGATTTTCTGGTTGCTGCACTCTATTATATCTGTGTGAATCATAGCCATAAAAGTAGAGAACATGAGAAGGCTTCAGGTGTATGAACACCATTGATTTCGTAGCCTAAACTATCGTGGAACCATCACACTAGTGGTGTGGAAATTAGATGTAGAGTTTAATGTGGGAGTCAACTGACGAAGTCGTGAACCTTCGTCGACTTGTGTCTATGACATGTGTCAGAAATGCTTAGTCACCGTTTAATCTATCGCGCAATGTTAGCTGAGATGGATTTACTCTGGGGAAATGTTAAAGGCAGATAAACTGAAACACGGTATCAGTCTATGAAGTCTCTGGCTATTGTTTTGAACCGTGCAGGTGTGGTTCCACTGAACAACCGGGATCGGGGATTGGTGACACAGCTGAGGATCGCTCTTACTCGGGCATATATATCCCCACATTATCTAGATCCTTATTGTCATACCAAATTTCATTGTTGTACATTCCCTTTTTTTCTCTTTTGAACTGTTATGTCTTTTGGATTATTTCCTTATTGCTGTATTTTTTAATTTGGCGCCTTCTGGCCTAATGCACGTATACGTGGTATTACTAATTAAACTGTCGTACAGTAATGTCAGGTTGCACGTTGATCCAGGTCGACTGCTGCGCTGAACTCAAGATCACTAGCATCTAGACGAACATTTGTATCGTCATGTAATCTGCAAGAAGTTTTAGGTGTCATTAGCAAGATTTGGATTTAAAAAATATGTTTGGGATTTCGGTGTTTGTGTTAAACTTGAACATTGTGTTCAGCGTTTTTGTTTTGTAGTCACTACTTGATGCTATGAGTTACTGATCAACTACAAAATGATTGTTTGCCTTTTTGAATTTAATACAGATACTAAATTCTACAAGTTTTATGCCCCTCGAAAGTGTGACTTATCATAGTGAATACAAATGCGATCTTTGCTAATCACTAAAGTCATTGGCTGCTTGATGGCTCTCTCCTAATACACCATTGAACTGGAGTAGTTTTCGTCTGATATTTTACTGTAGTAGTTTATTTAATTGGAATACAACTTAGTTATTTACCTTGAGAATGTGTGTCTCGAGTCAGTGTTCACGTGTCGTCATTAGTCCCTAAAAGTGTTACTGTTTTATTCATTCGATCGGATAATCACTACATTTCGCTGCATGTAAGTAGTTTAGAACGTAATCTATCACCTCAAAAAAAACAAAACAAATCTATTCAACAAAGAATCAGGTTAACTTAGACTCTTTAATTATGAAGATATCTTTTTGTCATGTCAGTCTTCGTTGACTTCAGAGCTGTCTACAGAAGCTGAAAATTTACATCTTTGTTGTGTAATAAGTCTTTTTATTATACAATTACACCCGAAAAGCCATTAGTTTCCCTTAGTTCATATAGTCACGTTTATACATATTGTATTCATTAAGTTATTGACATTTAAGTAGTCTTTGGCATTTGTGAAGTATTTCATCGAACATTCGTACGACTGACTTTAGTACTTTCAGGGATTTTTTTTATAAGTATACGATACATAGCATATTCAACCAACTTCGTAAAATACCTAGTACAGTCAACCAATTTCTTTTAAAGCTCCATACTACACTTAAAGCTGCGCTAAAATCAGACTTATGATTAAAACTTCACCAAACATAGACCAATATGCGAAGCTTCCAATTACTATTGTCGTGGCCTTAATAACAGGTCTTTGGATGCTCAATTTTCATACGATTATATGGGTTTTTCATGTCAGTTACTCAAACTTTTCATCTTTGCATTAAATTGGGAGATAACGAAATAGAATTCAACGAAATCGTCTAACAGTTCTAGTTGTCACGTCTTTCATTAAAATAACGAGAAGAAAGACATGAAAATGATATAATGAGTTGTTAAGACCTGGGACAGAAAAAAGTAGATAAAAAGAACATATCATGAACACTTACGTTTTTAGATAAAAGGGTTGTATTTTACATTAACTACTTTCCTAGTTGGTGGTCCAAGTTTCTTGGCGATTTACGTAACTCAACTACTTTTCTTGAAACTGTTACTGTTAACACCAAATAAAAATACTTCTCTTTTGTTTGTAGTTAACTGCGGTGGTTAGTAAGCCTCAAAACAAATGACGAAAAGAAGTCGATCTCAAAAACAGGCTACTGTGGACGATATCGAAGAAGTCCCGGGAAAAATGAAGTGCTTTAAATGGGAACCAGCAAAGTGGCAGACTCAGTTCAACAACATCCGGAAGATGCGTGAAAAGCGTGACGCTCCTGTGGACGTGATGGGTTGCGAAAGACTTGCTGTTGAGTCAGAAGAGCCGAGAGTATGTTATGCTAATGCGTAATCTTTCAAACAATAAGACTTTTAGATTACAGGTTTTGATCAGTCTGATGCTGTCAAGCCAAACAAAAGACCAAGTTACAGCTGCTGCCATGAAACGTCTGATATCGAGGGGGTGTACTTTGACAGAGTTAATAAATATGAAGACGGAAGACTTGCAGGAGTTGATATACCCGGTAGGGTTTCACAAAGTAAAGTCTCGCTTTTTTATAACATTTTCTAGACAAAAGCTTCAAATATAAAGAAAGCATGTGAAATTATCAAACAAAATTATGACTCAGACATTCCGAAGACTGTTAGCGAACTATGCACTTTACCTGGTTAGTATCGGTTACCCGTCAAATAATGATCCTAGGTGTCGGTCCGAAAATGGCACACCTAGCAATGCAATGCGCGTGGAAAGAAGTAACAGGGATAGGTGTAGATGTACATGTACATCGAATCGCCAACCGTTTAGGTTGGACTAGGATGAAAACTAAAACGCCAGAGGAAACTCGTGTTGCACTGGAAGAATGGTTACCGAGGTAATGGTTGATATATTGCAATAAATATTCAGTAGATAAATAATCAAAAGACAGAAAAACATATTTTATCGATAGACTTCCCCATTACTAGATTATAACGCTCCAGTGACTAACTGACTGATAAAATCAACGTAGAACCTCACACAAGTGCATCGAGTCCAAGTTGCCACACTTCACAGTAGTATACAAAAGAATATGGATATAAAATGAGTGATATCAGAGTAGATAAAGTAGTGTGAGAGAATAAACAATTGGTTAGTGCGAATATCCAAGCCTAAGAAGATTTCGAAGAGTGAATACATCTGCGCCATTGTGACTTTCAGCGATTTCACCAAGTCTTCAACGGCTGATTTCTTTCGTTTCAAGGTTCTCAACTCGGTAGTCTGCATCTCTGCACACGAATCAGACCAACAGTCATAGCCTTCACCGACTGGTGTCACATCTTGGTCTGTCCAACCTGATTGTTCTTCTAACCTAATCCAGTTTCCTTTAGGATGGCACGTCGAGGTAGGCGATGGGTCGGCATGCGCACTACATGTCCAAGTCATCTCAATCGACTACGGTTAACAACCTCATCAATCCAGTTGCCTGTCTCCCCCATTACCCGTAGCCTGACCTAAACATTATTCACACAATGATTCCACCAAACGCGAGCAATCCTACAAAGATACCTAAGATCAAAAACTTGCATCCGCTTCATGCCTCCTACTTTGAACGGCCATGTCTCAGCCATAAAACAGGACAGAATGGACTTCACTGCAGTATACTCGTACTTTGATAGATAGTCGAATATCTCCCCAGTTAGTTCCATAGATGACGCAGGTTGGCAAATGCTAAATGGGCCTTCTGTACCCGAGCTGAGAGTTTGTCATCAACCCGCCTGTTCAGGCTGGTGCAACTCCTCAAGTAAGTGATGTGGTAGATGTATTCCTCTACTACACTCCCTAACATTAAGCTGGGAGTATTTGTAGTAGACCAGTCCTGGAGCATCATCTTACATTTGACAGGTGCGAAATGCATGTCAAACCTAATCAGATCTCTGCTCAATGCGTTCACAAAACCCTGCATGTTGTCACCGTCTTCATCTAGCAGGACAATATCACCTGCATATTCCAATTCAACTAGATGACCTGCAGGGAGTAGATCAATCCTTTTGAAGTCAGACATATCTTACTTTATGTCCATTAGTACGTCTATGATAAAGTGAAGTAGGATGCGCCTGTGAGGCTAGGAAGTAATCACATATTGAATTAATTAAAAGTGTGGGATTTTTAACACCGAACTTCTGAGATATGCTGATTCATGATAAGTAGTTAAGTTTAAAGCAACATTCTAGGAACTTTACTGCTACATCATGAAATGTATTTCTCCTTTAAAACACGTAAGACAATGATCGAATGCATTTTGAACCACCACAAACTGCGATCAACGGAAGTGATATGAAATGGTTTGGAAAATTGTTTTGCATTCAAATCAAAGGGACAATTAAAAATTTTTAGGATGAATAGTGTAACTTTAAGTTGAAATTGAAAAATTACTGAGGTTGAGATTAGGCAATAGATGCTGAACAGTTAGTTTCACGTTAATAGCTAAAAATTGTACATAGTATAAAGGACAAGTGTTTAGAAATGTTTGATGGAAGCTAACGTCGTTTTCTTTGGAAGTTTAAAAGTCTAAATACCTAGATTATAAAAGTTTACGAATCCACTTCTTCTTAACAATAAGAGTTGTGAATTAATTTAATTTTCTAATTTCCAGAAGTCTCTTACTTGCGACACCTTTCATATCACCTTTTTGTTAGACTTGCAGATTCTTTTACCTGACTAACAGCTTCAAGTCACAACTATTTCATTAGTATCTGTAACTTGACCTACAATTATGACATACAAGAGAAAAGTCAGAAATCTTGATAAAAAGTCAAAATATCATCTAATGTAGAGTACCTTATCTTGAATAATCGTACCACATAGATTGCTGCAAATCAGGTATACAACAGTTAATAATTAATATAACAGTAGTTTTTGTCTTGAATTTCCAAACATATTGATTTTCATAGATAGTATGAAGCTGGATTATTTGGGATTTTTGATATAGAAAGTTTTTTTATTTCACTACTAAGGTATATACTCATTAACTTGGTTTTTATTTTTGCTCGATAACATCCTCATACCAAGCATATTTTCATTCTATTCATTTTACTTGAATAATTTTTTTGAGCTGAATTTCTGATTACTAAATGGGATTACTAGTTAATACACTTATCTTTATAAAAAGTAATGTATTTTATAACCAGATTTTAGATTGGATAGGTGTCAAAAATAGTGTTTTATTGCCATCACTAGTTGATGTACAAATATGAATAGCATACATTAGATTCCATAAGGTTATAAACTTTGTATACAAGTCGTGATGAACTTTCATGTCTGTATTCCTACAGCTTGATAGTATCTCTACAGTAAGACCGCAGGGTTGGTAGTGATTATTGCTGAAAGACTCCCCAAGAATTTCCATCTGAAATGACTTATATTGTAATCTATTTGGAGATTATCATTGAAATGCAGGACACGCGTTTTATCCTGTTTGAGACTCATTAGCTGGGTGTACCTTTACCTCGGTGAATGATATCCCTACTTAAACTCGGACCAAGTACCCATGGCTCCAAAACGCCAAAGCGTTATCCACTAGGTCACGAGAACTACCAATTGTGCAACGGGTATCAGTTGTTGTTTATTCATATTTGTAATTCCCGTTTACAAATATAGGGGCGAATTGCTTGACATCTGTCAGCAGGTAGGTTTTTTACGCGGAGGCCTCGATATCGCTATATTGTAGTCTACGACTACATACGTCCTGATTTCCGCTGCTAGCCGCCAAATATATTACAGTATAGTGAATATACAGACAGTATCGAGGCATCCATATAGGCGCCCATCTACCAACATGTCGAGCAATTCGACCCCCCAACATAGTATGGTGAAATTATAAGAATCAATAAACGAAAAGAATTAGGTTCGTCAAAATAATTTTGTTTTAACCTCCTAACAGGTAAGCAACCTAGCCTAGTTAAATAGCCGGTCCTAAGTCCGGAAAAGACGGAAGGTTGGGGGCATGGGGCTAGAAACCCTACTCCGGAAAACCAATCCAGTCCCTCAAGAAACTTCAAAGCACACATAAACTAAAAATCAAATGTATTCCTCGCTGGAATCGAGGAGACGAAATGACGCCAGCTAGTGAAAACCGTCAGAAAGTCAATTGGCCGATGTGTCTTCTCACAATGAAAGCAAAAGTAAGCATAGGGACGTGGAATGTCCGCACAATGTTTGAAGTGGGCTGGCTAGCAAGGCTGTCCAGATTACAAAAGAAATAATAAGATATGGCATAGAAGTGCTAGGAATCTGGGAGAGTAGATCGAATGGAAGTGGACTCTCCAAACGTTTAACCGGAGAGTCAATAATCTACTCCGATATTGCCACCCAGACGACAACCACGAGGACACTGAGATAGTGGCTATCATGATCTCTCCGAGAGCATCGAAGCCTCTCATGCAGTGGGAGCCAATCTCCTCTTGCAGGATCATGACAACAAGATTCGAATCAAAAGGAGGAAATTTACAATCATACAGTGCTACGCTACGCACCTACAAATAATGAAGACCAAGGGAAGGAGGAGGAGGAGGAGGGGGAATTCTGCAATGGGCAACTGCAATCAGTAATGGACAAGACACTACCCCAGATGGAGACATGAAATTCTAATGGATGGGGTGACATGAATGCCAAACTGGGAGCGGACAACACACGAAGAGAAGTCATCATGGGTCGAGAGGGACTCGGTGAAATGTAGAAGAGTCCAGAACTCTTTGCAGACTTCGGCACCTTTAATGATTTGGTGATTGGAGGGAGACGGTGTGTACAAACACAAGGATATTCACAAAGCGAGCGACATGGATTACACCAGACACTAGGACACACTAAAAATCAGATCGACTTCATTTCAATGTGAAGAGAGTGGATATAGTCTACTGGATACTAGATGAAGAAGGGGAGCAGATGTAGGCTCACAACACTCTCTAGTACAAGGAATCTTCAAAATCAAGTTGAAAGCCGTCAAGCAAGCTGGTGACAGACCACAGTTCAAGTTCAACACCCAGAACAGAAACTGAAGGACGAAACTACAAATGACATCCCCAGGTCAGCCATCAGAAAAAGATGGGAGACATTAAGCGACATCCTCTACGAAACCTACATGGAGGTAGGCGGTGAATTGGTATACGCAGTACATGACCAAGCCATCTAAGTCAATTTGTCGTCACAAATTTATCAACCGACTTGTCCACTACTCTTCGTCTAACCTGGACATTGATAACATGGTGATTCTAGCACACGGAAGCAATGCTGCAAAGAAATCTATGGTCAAACACCTGTAACCGCTTCATATATTCCACTCTTAACGGGCACGTCTCGCAACACTATAACAAAATTGAAGCTCAAACAGCCTCTTCAGTAGAATATTCGGATCTCAGTAATGATTCAGTTAGATTGTGTGACTTCGTAATTACTGCTATGGAGAGAAACTTGTCAACACTTTTATACAGTTCCCTGTCTTAAAAGATTTAAATGGAATGATAACAAAGGTTTTAGCGGAATATCATGATCCAGGGAGATGGAGTCGAGAATAAATCTTGCCTTCAAAGGTACTGATGTTTCTAGGAGAACTAATTACAAAACAAATATAGCCTCAGAGAAGACCTACCCAGCTCAACAAAAAGGATTGCTCACTGAAACAATTAGGGATTGCAATGTTCCTTCATCATGTTGTCGCAAATTGTATATATACGAGTTTACATGTACGCACCGAAGCGCATACATTGAAGGAACAAAGAGAAGGATTTTTAATGGGATTTCTGAGTATATTTATGCAAGAAGAGTGCGCTATTACTTGTCATATTATTCATAGTGGGCATAAAGTAAGAGATCCAGATTTTCAACACTAATCCAGTCAAGTCAGTGCTTCAGAGACTTGGCTCATTACAAAAAGCATCTCCAACAAACTGCAGATATACATCAACAGCTGCCGCCTACGCTCACTCGATACTGAGGATCAGATCAGATGACCAGAAAGAATAAGCAACAAGGAACTCTGATCTGACAACAAACTAATCAAGAATCCATCATTCAACAAATATGTAGAAGAAGGAGGAGATGGATTGGACATACACTGAGAAGACGATTCGAGGATGTCACGTGTCAGGCTGGGTCGTCGAGGGAAACCGAAAGGAGGAACGACGAGTTGTGCGTCCGAGGGTGACGTGGAGGAGGTGGTGTGAGGAAGGAATGAAAACTTGTGGGTAGTCGTGACGTTAGGTTGAAAAGACTGCAGAGAAGAGAGTTAAATGGCGATGTGCTACTGAAGTCCTATGTTCCACTAGGAATCCAAGGGGAAAATAATATAATAATTATAACAAACAAGCGATTTGATAACTTCGTAATCTGCAAAGAGCTTACTAGATAAAACTAAATACTTACATTGATCCTATCCGGATGTTGTCTAGTTTCTCCGAGTATGATTGAAATCAATGTTTAATATGATGAGGAGGCATATAACACTAACTAAAATGAAATCGTACAGATAGGTAGCGTACTACTACTACTACTGCCTTCAACTATCTATGCTTGCTAAATTTAATTATTTTCAGGGAGCACTGGAGGGAAATTAATTGGTTACTAGTTGGATTTGGCCAACAAATATGCCGTTCAAAGAACCCGAGTTGTATAGATTGCTTGAATAGATCAATTTGCCCATCTGCACAAAAAATCAAGATTAAGACAAACGGCGACTAAATCTCAGACCGTTATCAGTTTTATTCCTATTCCAAATAAGCATTTTTGAAAAAGAAATTATCAAGTATTTTTTGTTTTGTTTTGAATAAATGAATTATAATCAAATTTGATCTGCTTCCTGTTTTCAGTTAATGAATATTTATATGGTGGATAAATTTAAGTTTTTCTGTTGGAAACCGACCATACTGAAAAAAAGACAAGATGAATTAGTAACTAGAGTAGATAAATGATGACAGGATACAAGATGAATTTAATGTGATACATCAATGCGGTACATTCATTAATAATATGCTACTCATGATTTCTGTTGAGTACTTCCTCATAATTTGTAACCACTTGATAATATAATAATAATAAGCAGTTAAATAAACCGTATCTTCAGCAATATAAAACAAAATATTCCCTGTTAAAGTATGGTTGTCATCTATCATCAATGGTGATAAAAGTGTTACATACACTCGAAAACTCCTCATAATTCGTTTACTTAGTAAGCGCCAGCTCTTCACAGTGTGTAGTGAAATTCGTTGTCGATAAGTATCTAGCGCATAGAATTAGCCGTTTTTTAATTTTATTCATTAAGACAATATACTGTGTTGATTTTGTAACCCCAGACGCCGCTTGTTACAACCTAAAATAACCTTCAGATTCCAACCTCTTGGTGGTCTCTTGATTTCTTGATAAATGGAAAGGGCGGTAAGATAACAAGATGTGCAACGTCAAAAATACATGTGAAATACAATTATATATATATATATATAATCTTGGTTATTTCCAAGCCTTTCACCTACCTAGGCAGCATCGTTTCAACTATAGGAGGCACAGATAACGATGTAAAAGCTAGGATCAGAAAAGCAAGACAGGCCTTCATCAACCTGAAACCAGTGTGGAGATCTACTCCACTCCACTCAGCATAAAGAACGAGATCCGGATTTTCAACAGTAATCCAGTCAAATCAGTGCTTCGATACGGTTCAAAGACTTGGCATATTACGAAAATCGTTCCCAACAAATTGCAGACATACATCAACAGCTGCCACCTACGCTCACTCGATACTGAAGATCAGATCAGATAGCCAGAAAGAATAAGCAACAAGGAACTCTGATCTGACAACAAACTAATCAAGAATCCATCATTCAACAAATATGTAGAAGAAGGAGGAGATGGATTGGACATACACTGAGAAGACGATTCGAGGATGTCACGTGTCAGGCTGGGTCGTCGAGGGAAACCGAAAGGAGGAACGACGAGTTGTGCGTCCGAGGGTGACGTGGAGGAGGTGGTGTGAAGAAGAAATGAGAACTTGTGGGCAGTCATGGAGTCGGATTCAAAAGATTGCTGAGAAGAGAGTGAAATGGAGATGTGCCACTGAAGCTCTATGTCCCACTAGGAACTCAAGGGACAAATAATAGTAATCATATAATAATTTCCAAGCCTTTCTAGATTCAAACATCCAACTATTTTTTATCCCGTTAACCAATTTGATATTTGCACGGTGATTCACGTGATTTTCCCCAGAAACTTCGAGATAAATGGATTAGTTGAAAAATATTTCAAGGGTTTACAGTTTCTTATGAAGATTTTGGCAATTTTATTCCACAATATAACAGTTGATTGCCCCATTTACACCGCAGGTTCTTTCAATATATAAATATAAGATGAAAACTACCTGTTATTCAGAAAGAAATACGCTAGATAAACAGAAATTGAAAACTTAACAGGGATTTAACTAATCTTATCCATTAACAGGATTTTGTCTCATTTTCATTGATATTATGATAACCGCTATAGTCTTTGTTAAAATACACTGTGTAAAATATATGTGTATGTAGGAGAATAAAGAGCTTGAGAATTTATGTTAGAATTATTGCGTGTGATATTAAATTCTTGTGATAGTAGTGAAATTCGAATATCTTATGCATATGAATAAGATTGTATTATTTCAGTCAGTGAATATGATACAACTTTTCTACGTTTTTTTTTTATCAAAGGTAGAAAATGTGGCCAAGACTTCAGCGATGATATTGACTTGCATTTAAGAAACCTAATCATCTATTTAAGTAGATACTAAGAAAAACACACTGTTGGATTCGATGAGTAGTAGTTAAAAGTATATAAATGAGAGTTCCTTTAGCAGTGATTTTTAAGAGTATTGTTATAACAGCAAGGAAGAGATGAATATAATCATATAACAAGTATTTGAATGATCTTCCAAATTATTTACGGAATCACTAGCTAGATACCTTTCTGGAGACCAGAATCTTACTAGTTGGCAATTGGTTTGTAGTAGTGGTGTGGAAGTTTGAAGAGATACAGCTGCATAAAATCTAACTAAATGAATAAACTAACTGAAGTAAAAACACTTCGCTCATCTTTAACTTGCTCATGCTGCAATATCAGTTAACTGTATCGAGGAAAATAATATGGCTTATATGTGTAGAGTAAATCAGTTTACTTATACCAGTATATTGGGTTGCCCTGATATACATTATCACGTCACAGTTCGACTCACAAAAAAGTTGGATGTAACTCAAATACCACATAAAAGCACTGATGGTCATCAAAACACCTATTTGATACAGCAAGTATAATCGTCGTGCAGCTAATACAATGTATTTCCATGATTCTATTATGATGGAGATGAGGGATTGATTCAGTGCACCTGGAATCCCTTGCTTACCTCCTTCATTTGATTCTTTAACTTTTGACACCTGTATTCATGTTCCGTAATTCACTATGGGACAACATTCCATCAAGAAAAGAATCAATACTTGGTACAATCCTGAAATGATACAGTATGCTGTACGCTTGGTATACAACACAATTGAAAGAAATCCAATGTTCCTTGCCCTTTAGACATTCAACAGGTGATAAGCTTTTTCCAGAAAGCTTAGAGAAATCTCAGTTGTCGTTTGCATCGAAGTTCTAACACAATATTAGCAACAACAGAGAAGGAGAACTACAAAACGTTAAGATATTCACTCTATGACATACATCAAGAAATAAGTACGAGGACTTTTCGGACAATAGTAAATGGATGTAATCCGAATACAATAGTGATATAATTATGGGATATGACAGATACTAAATACATATTTTCTGCATACCGATTTATTTCAGCTAAATTACGTAGCTAAAGTGCACAAATGAAACCTCACCTAGTTAAATAGCCGGTCCTAAGTCCGGAAAAGACGGAAGGTTAAGGGGGGGGGCATAGGGCTAGAAACCCTACCCCGGAAAACCAATCTAGTCCCTCAAGAAACTTCAAAGCACACATAAAAAACTAAAAATTAAATTTATTCCCCGCTGGAAACGAGGAGACAAAATGACGCCAGCTGGTGAAAACCGTCAGAAAGCCAATTGGCCGATGTGTCTTCTCACAATGAAAGCAAAAGTAAGCATAGGGACGTGGAATGTCCCCACAATGTTTGAAGTGGGCTGGCTGACTGACTGACTGGCTAGCAAGGCTGCCCAGATTGCAAAAGAAATAAGAAGATATGGCACAGAAGTGCTAGGAATCTGGGAGAGTAGATCGAATGGAAGTGGACTCTCCAAACGTTTAACCGGAGAGTCAATAATCTACTCCGATATTGCCACCCAGACGACAACCACGAGGACACTGAGATAGTGGCTATCATGATCTCTCCGAGAGCATCGAAGCCTCTCATGCAGTGGGAGCCAATCTCCTCTTGCAGGATCATGACAACAAGGTTCGAATCAAAAGGAGGAAATTTACAATCATACAGTGCTACGCTACGCACCTACAAATACTGAAGACCAAGGGAAGGAGGAGGAGGAGGAGGGGGAATTCTGCAATGGGCAACTGCAATCAGTAATGGACAAGACACTACCCCAGATGGAGACATGAAATTCTAATGGGTGGGGTGACACGAATGCCAAACTGGGAGCGGACAACACACGAAGAGAAGTCATCATGGGTCGAGAGGGACTCGGTGAAATGTAAAAGAGTCCAGAACTCTTTGCAGACTTCGGCACCTTTAATGATTTGGTGATTGGAGGGAGGCAGTGTGTACAAACACAAGGATATTCACAAAGCGAGCGACATGAATTACACCAGACACACTAAAAATCAGATCGACTTCATTTCAATGTGAAGAAAGTGGATATAGTCTACTGGATACAAGATGAAGAAGGGGAGTAGTTGTAGGTTAACAAAAGACTGCATAGAACAAAGTGAAATGGCGACGTGCTACTGAAGCCGTATGTTACACTAGGAACCCAAGGGGCAAATAATAATACTAATAAATCAACGTATTTTAAGGTCAACTAGAGTGTGACGTTGACTGCGCAGGACAGAGTTTTAAAATCAAGTTGCGTAACACATTTTGAAAGTATTAAAACAAATAGTTGGGATATTGAAAAAACAGCTAAATAGTGAATACCGATAGGACGATAATCATTAGAAAAACAAAAAAAGGAAACCGGTTCTCAAATAGAGTAGGCATTGAGCTTGGTAAATACACATTTATGCTGTAGGATTATTATCAGTGGATTCATATTCGGCTATAAAAATGATTTATTTGAGTGAACTGTACCTATTTCATGTTCATTTTCATAGTTTCAATTATTACCATGTAAATTACGCTTAGCCAAATATCATAAGTCTCATTCTTGTACAACTCACACTACAAGCTAAACTTGCGCCTGGAATTGCTATTTTCTTACATGAATAACCTCATTACTCGTCGAGTCGTTCACTTGATTTACGATAAAAGCTTTCAACTGTGATAGGTGTTCCGAGATGAAAACTCCGTAGTTTTTCTTTATGGATATCAGTAAGGTGTTAGCATTTTATAGATTTTGTAGTCGGTTTATGGAGTTGTCAACTATTCTACGCATTGTGAGTTATTATTCAGGTAGTTTGCATACCAGTGAACGATCAGCTGATGGCGTTTGCTGGCATTTGATGACGACGTCATTCATGGAGAAAGCGTGTTTACTGGTAAAATTTTCAAATTCTCGAGCGAACAGAAGCACTTTATAAGTGTACAACGGCGCTAACTGGAACAAACAATGAAGTGCCAAAAGTTCTTCAACTATACGAAATCTATCTATTAAAACTGGTTGAACTCACACACTATAATATATATATTATATATTAGTCCTTGGGTTCCTAGTGGAACATAGGGCTTCAGTAGCACGCCTCCAGTGACCTCTGTTCTCTGAAATCTTTTAAACCTGGTCCCACGACAGCCCACAAGCTCTCATTTCCTCCTCGCACGACCTCCTCCATGTCACCCTTACCTCGGACACACAACTCGTCGCTTCCCATGGGGATTCCACTCGAGCAACTGGCCTGACGCGTGATGTCCTCAGTCGGCCTTCTCAGTGCATGCCCAATCCATCTCCACTTCTTCCTGCATATTTGTTGCGTGATAGGTTCTTGGTTGGTTCGTTCCCAGAGTTCCTTGTTGCTTATTTTTTTCTGGCCATCTGATCTTCAGCAGAGAGCGTAAGCAGTTGTTGATGAATGTCTGTAGTTTATTGGAAATGCCTTTCGTGACGCGCCAAGTCTCTCAGCCATACAAGAGCACTGACTTGACGTTGGTGTTGAAAATCCGTATCTTGTTCCGCATGCTGAGTGCAGAAGATCTCCACACTGGTTTCAGGCTAATGAACGCCTGTCATGCTTTTCCGATTCTGACTTTGACGTCCTCGTCCGTCCCGCCTGTAGTTGAAACAGTGCTTCCTAGATAAGTGAAGGAGGTTACTTCCTTCAAGTTTCTCCCGTTGACGGTGATTGGAGTTTGTTGTTGTTGTTGTTGATGGTGGTGGTGCGGTATCTTCATCACTTCTGTCTTCTCTATATTCACCTGAAGTCCCGTCTTAGCTGCCTCTTCTATCAACTTGTTAGTTTTTGCCTGCAGATCTTCAAGTTTATGTGACATTAGGCATAAGTCATCACTGGCGAAATCCAAGTCTTCTAGGTTCTTTTCCGTCGTCCAGTGTATCCCCCTCTTCTCGCTGCCTACTGTTTGCTGCATGATCCAGTCCACCACAATAAGGAATATCATGGGGGATAGTAGGCAACCTTGTTTCACTCCTGTCTTCACTTCAAAGGCATCACTGAGCTTCCCATTGTGGATTACTTGGCATCTGGCATCTTCATATAGTTGTTGAATGAGGCGGATAAAGGTTTGCGGTACTCCGTAGTATTGAAGCAGTTTCCAAATTACTTCTCGGTCGACGCTGTCAAAGGCCTTCTCAAAGTCGATGAAGTTGAGGTAGAGAGCTGATTGCCATTCTATGCTCTGTTCTATGATGATGAGAAGCGTTGCAATTTGGTCTGCACATGATTTGTACTTCCTGAAGCCACACACTATAATATTATGTGCATTTTCATTTGCCTCAAGCGTTTAGGTTAACTTATTCTTTGATCTTATGACTTCGTTACAGGATGAAAGATACAGTCTGCGTCGACATATCTGCTGAATGTAAGGCTTGAAAACACTACTTAGCAAAGCAAAAAATGTAGGTCAATTAATCAGTCTGCTATAGGGAACCGAAGAAGTGGAGGATCGATGGGAAAAACAGTGATGTAAAGTATTCACTAGACAGTCATGAGGCAACAGAAGATTCAATGTCATCCAATTTTAAACAGTGATATGTTTCACAGTTTGCTGTTTATTCTTTCGCCATGAAGACAGTAAAAAAATACGATGATATAACATTAATTTACGAATGACAGGAACTACTGATAGTGTTGCAATTCCTTCTGCTTAAGTTACTTTAAAGACAGAAGTGCAAGTAAAGGATTCTGTTAAACAGGTAGGTACTTTAAGTCCGAAACCAAACTAAAGGAATGTAGTCTGAAAATGTCGCATCACTTAGCTTGGTAGACTTCGATTTGTGCTAAGCACTCTGAACTAAACAGTCTTATCGATTGTCCACTGGTGGCCATGTAGTGAACATAATCCAGATCTATAAGAAATCAGTCGTGACCCGAATAGCTTAGTGGCTAAATGTCTAGTTTCTGCACTGAATGATGCAGGTTCGGATCACCGCGAGAATACCAGTTCATCATGGTTGCAGATACGCCTTGCTGATAAGTACCAATAAGTATGAAAACTAGGTCCAAGGCTTCCTACGGATTGACTTACAATATCTGACACCAAAATACAGTGCCGTATCGCTTAGTGGTACATCACAAAACTAGACTTATCACTGCCCAACACGAAGGATAAGACAGTGATCGATTCGTGTCAATCATCATTTAAACAACTTTTATTGCGGCTTACGTTGTGTTGTAGTATTATGAAAGTCCAAAATTTATTTTCAGGCCAGTCTGTGGAATAGATCCAGATAATGTTAAATAAAGAGGACCAATAAACTTAATCTTTCTGTTACAAATAGTATATGGCATTCGTTAAAAATCTAGTTGAAAATCCAAACACTATACTTCTAGCACAAACTCACCTATGATAATCACAAGAATCACAACAGCCAATGATCCAATAATAATCCACATCTACAAAATGAAATTTTAAATTAAAAAAAAATAGACAATGCATAAATTTGCTAATTGGTAACAGTGTTTTTGAAGGCTATGCCTAGTAGGGGGCTAGGGAAACATTCTATGAACAAATAATGAATGTAAACAGATGAAGGAAAAGAAATATATTCAAACTATATATAAGAATAAGATTTCACTGTAGTATTATAATGATAAAACATTTTTAACGTGAACTTAGGCTGAAAAAAAAGACACTTGAAAAGTAATTTATGTCTGTATAAAAGAATAATATACATCATGAAGCCTCTTTTACAAACACAATCAATTCATCGCACCGATAAGTAAAAGTACGATAAAGACTCCCAAGCTTCCATAAAATAAGTAATAATCATTAAGTTATAAATATCCAGACGATATTTATTACGAATATCCCAGAAGATGAGTACCGAGTATGATTTAATCATTATAAGAATACATCTTAATATAATTTCAGGGTGTTTAGAAAACCGTTTTCCTTTATAAACCACAATTTCTACAGACTAATCAACACAACGGGTATCAGTTGTTGTTTATTCATATTTGTAATTCCCGTTTGCTATATATGAGGGCGAATTGCTTTGACATCTACTGGCAGGTAGGTTCCTACGCGGAAGCATCGATATCGCCCGAATATTCATTATATTGTAGTCTACGACTACATACGTCCTGATTTCCGCTGCTAGCCGCCAAATATATTACAGTATAGTGAATATACAGACAGTATCGAGGCATTCATATAGGCGCCCATCTACCAACATGTCGAGCAATTCGACCTCCCAACATAGTATGGTGAAATTATAAGAATCAATAAACGAAAAGGATTAAGTTCGTCGAAATAATTTCATTTAACCTGCTAACAGGTAAGCAACCTAGCCTAGTTAAATAGCCGGTCCTAAGTCCGGAAAAGACGGAAGGTTAAGGGGGGGGGATAGGGCTAGAAACCCTACCCCGGAAAACCAATCCAGTCCCTCAAGAAACTTCAAAGCACACATAAAAAACTAAAAATTAAATTTATTCCTCGCTGGAAACGAGGAGACGAAATGACGCCAGCTAGTGAAAACCGTCAGAAAGTCGATTGGCCGATGTGTCTTCTCACAATGAAAGCAAAAGTAAGCATAGGGACGTGGAATGTCCCCACAATGTTTGAAGTGGGCTGGCTGACTGACTGACTGGCTGGCTAGCAAGGCTGCCCAGATTGCAAAAGAAATAAGAAGATATGGCATAGAAGTGCTAGGAATCTGGGAGAGTAGATCGAATGGAAGTCGACTCTACAAACGTTTAACTGGAGAGTCAATAATCTACTCCGATATTGCCACCCAGACGACAACCACGAGGACACTGAGATAGTGGCTATCATGATACAATTAAGGGTTGCAATGTTCCTTTATCATGTTATCGCAAATTGTATATATATCTATACACGAGTTTACATGTACGCACCGAAGCGCATACGTTGAAGGAACAAAGAGAAGGATTTTTAATAGGATTTCTGAGTATATTTATGAAAGAGAAGTGCGGAAGTTATTAACAGCGCTATTACTTGTCATATTATTGATAGTGAGCATAAAGAAAAAGATCCAGATTTTCAACACTAACCCAGTCAAACCAGTGCTTCTATATGGTTCAGAGACTTGGCTCATTACAAAAAGCATCTCCAACAAACTGCAGATATACATCAACAGCTGCCACCTATGCCCACTCGATACTGAAGATCAGATCAGATCAGATAGCCAGAAAGAATAAGCAACAAGGAACTCTGGTCTGACAACAAACTAATCAAGAATCCATCATTCAACAAATATGTAGAAGAAGGAGGAGATGGATTGGACATACACTGAGAAGACGATTCGAGGATGTCACGTGGCAGGCTGGGTCGTCGAGGGGAACCGAAAGGAGGAACGACGAGAGGTGCGTCCGAGGGTGACGTGGAGGAGGTGATGTGAGGAAGGAATGAAAACTTGTGGACAGTCATGCAGTCGGATTCAAAAGATTGCTGAGAAGAGAGTTAAATGGCGACGTGCTACTGAAGTTCAATGTACAAATGATAATAGTAGTAATAAATTGTTGATAATGGGCATGGTTTTGATATCTAGAGATTAATTATAATCATACATAAACAGATGAAAGTGAAGTTGCTGGGTTTCCATGAAACATTTAGCTACTTAGCGATTAAAACTAAACTTAATCATGAAGGTACGGTTGTCAGTCTGTGTTTATCATAGCAATTTAGTTTCATTTCCTTTAACTGATACGTCTTCACTCGGCGCCCAGTATTTATGAAACTATCCCGTCAAATTCTGACCATGATTCATACAAACGTTATCATTAGTTCTAGTAAGTTCAATTACACAGCATCAATGTTATGTTTTCTTTGAGTCGATAATATTCTATCGAATTGACTCAAGTAGTTAAACATCTTGTATATTTTGCTATCAAATTTGTTTTAGGTTGTGAGCAGTTGATTACAAAATGTAAAATAAAATGGATACATGTTAATCTCCTAAAACTTTTGTTCTGCTCCACTTAAACTTGTCAATTTTTTTTACTAATTATGCAATGGTGACATGGGATAGAATTCAAAATACCATGAAAAATTGATATTTGAATAGCACGGTACATGTGTGAAAAAGTTTTTTGCACTGAAACTTAATGAAGAGAAAACTAGATCTCAGATCTAGTCAGCTTTCTCAGATCTGCTAAGTTAGCACTTCAATTTTGTATTGAATAATCCTAAAAGAAAATCAATAGAAACTGAGCTCTCTTCGATAACCTGAAGCGTAAACATAGTAAAAATCAACGTGAGAAAATTCTTCGTGACATCAGCTGATACCTGTTAGTTCAATCAACAGTCTATGACCATTAATATAAATGATTAATGGAATATAAACGTCGCAACACGTTGCTCTGTTCTGCTTTAGCTTCCCAAGCAACTACATAACTTCAACAAAGACCGAAGAACCAAAATAAATGTCTCGCCAACTAGGTAATGGTTGGATAAAGGAGAAACGAAACCGACTTGTATATTACCATATCAGACTGTATATTTGGCAATATTGTCAATGAAAACGTTGTTGTCAGAATATATATGACTACAACTCGGACACTAGCAGAATATAACTCCATATTAAGTTATCTATTCGGTAGACCACACAGTGATAAAACATTATTTATTGCATGACATTTCGAGCAGTATTTGTTGGTCATAAGCATATCTAAAAACTCAGACAGTCTTTAAACCTAACAGCACTTCAGTCCTCCGTTTTAATGATATTGCGATTTTTTCAAATATCTTCAAAGTGTGAATCCTTCGCGTTACATATGTTATATATTGATTGGATGAACAAAGAAACTTTTTTCAATCGCTTGCTTCATGTAGCTATATTTGATTTTAGAGCTGTTGCTTTATCCCTATCCACAGTGTGATTATAAGTCAGAGCATACAGATTGATAGCCAAGTTCTTCTTTAAACTAATTACTTTATTAACGTCTATAATTCTACACTTAGCAGATATTTCGCAATTAAAGTAGAGGGTTAAGAATATACCATTGGAAGAGGAGAGAATATATTCTTCTCTCATCATTCCATTTAGCAAAATTGCATTACTGTCTGTTGTTACCTTGTACATATATTCCTACTTGTCTCACCACTTACAACCTTTGGCAGCTATTTAGAAGACTTTTATCAACCAGTAGGCTAAGAAACTTACGACCGCAAGTTAGTACATCTAGTAGACAGGCTTACTAATTACAATATTCTATATAAGAAGATAATCCCTGAGGTTTTTTCTCAATATCCACACATCAGTATACTGGTTATCTATAATCATTAAAACAGCTCATGGGAGAAACATGGAAATTTGTTCAGAGGTGGTACACGAAAGAAGAAACTCATTGTACAGATGTTTGATTGGTTTAACATTAACATGGACGCATATATGAACTGTGTAGAAGGTAGTACAACAAAGCATTCGTCCTAATTGCCATACCACACGAGCCCGTGAAGGACAAGTGGACAAGAGGAAAGATTAAAAAAATTTATTGGTATCGCTGGTGGTAAGGGTGAACGAAAAACAGTAAAAGAAGGGATAAAGAATATAGTGACTGAAATGCTGTGAAATACGGAGGGCGATAGGATGTAGATGCATATCTAAATACTAATCAAATTAACACCCAACTGCACTGGAGCTGTGGTTCATTGGTTTAGGGAGATGGCTTTCAACCAATAGGTCACGGGTCCGAACCCCACCCGACATACCAAGGTTTTATGCAGCCAGTATCCTTAATTCTTATACAATAAGTGTGGATTACTGCCTATTGCACAAATGTGCACAAGGTTGCTGAGTGCATTTCGATTCGACTAAGTATATAATGTGCGTAAATTTAGCTGAGAACATTCAACAATTTGCGATATCATTCCCATCATCATTATCATTCCCAGAAGCATATTATTAGTTATCATGATTTACCTTCATATTTTGCCAAAAGTATTTTCTTCGTACACGGCCTGCAACTGCTTGAAACTGTTTTGATTGCACTTGTAATTCATCTACGCAAAATTGAACATTGAAAACGAATATACAATCAGTAAAACAAAAGAAATTGAAAACAAAAAGAAAATGTTATTCATGATATAAATTTAGTGGTATGAATATCTTCTTTTAAAAAATCACGCTTATTAATTTAGCGAATGTGTTAATAAAACAAAATTACTGAAATCTAAGTCTATAAAATACTAAATACAATGCAGCACTTTTAGTAGAAATTATTTTAAAAGTTATCCATGAATACATCTATTAGACAGGGATAAATCTATTCACCGTTTAATCAACTAGGCATAATGAAAGGATTGCCTTATGGAGTCAGTTAACTAAGATGAAGATGTTTATTAGCTATCTGTTGACAGTTTGAAATGCTTTCGAATAATCTAATTATTTAGTCTGAATTTTGTGAGGATTGATCTATTTCAAGGCGGTATTATTCATCACGGAGTGACATCAATTGGGGAGAGAGGATTGGACAGTTGTTTTATCCTATTATGGGACACCTATGATTCTACCACGAATCGAACTCAGCACCTTCAGCTGCTGGGTCCTAATTAGAAGTCGTAACTGGTGCGAAAATGAGCTTGGATGTGAGGCGGAGGCCAAATGTTGACTTTGAATGAGTTGCACAAACTGACAGAAGTCATAAACTGTGAACCATTAGGCTCCCATTCAGTGGCTGAGCGGTTGATGCATTCGGTATGAGGGCTAAATGTCATTGGTTCGATTCCTGGTCGGGTGCGTACTGCTGAGGAGTCTCATGCTAGGACGAAACAGCTGGCCAGTGCTCCTAGGTTTCTCAATAGTTCTCCAACTGATGTCTGACTGTGATGGATACCACCTTGAAATCTAATTATTGTTTTTCATTCACCTTATAGTAGACTTCTTTATAATCCAAAGGAATGTGACCTTGTGAAAAGTTGTTTTCCTTAATAGTGATACACTTCTTTTGCCTCCTTTTAATTGTGCTGTTATTCTGAAGGATTTAAACGGATGCACGTTTTCAAGTAGACATTTTAGCCAACCTGATATTGCTCTAAAGCGCAAACTCTCCAAATGAAATTTTATGAAGTAACTGGAACTAATAATGGCTGACATTTTTATGGCTTACCTAATGAGAACTACACTGAAATGCATCAACAGAACCCATAAGTGTTATTCAAAGTATAAACAGTGTTTGATTTACAACAGGTATCCAATTAAATGCATTCAGAACTACTGTACAGGTAATAAGAAAAGAGAAGATATATAAAGCACACATAAATTTGTTTTAAAAGGACTGGTTTCGAAGACGATGATATCGTAGAGAAAATCAGCAGATGGTAAAAAAAGGAAAAAAGGGTTTATCTTAGGTTTCCTGAACAAATTCCGAAGAGCTTAAGACTGACAGGAAGTGATACTTTGAAAACAAGCAATCATTCGGCATCTCAATGATAGTGGATATAAAACAGACGTTTTTAATTCCTTCAAGACAACAGACAAGCAAACGAGATCAATTCTCCTGAAGTTTTCTGAAGCCATAGTCATTAAACACCTAAAACCTGATTTATGTTTTAAAAAAAACCATAGTCAATCTTTTTCTACCTTGGTAATCTTTCTTGACTATATCATCATTTATCAACTGTACACAGCTATTCCTTCACTCTTATTTGGTTGCATCCTCTTTTTCTTATATCAACCTTTTAAACTAACTGAGCTTAATGTATTTTTGAGATGAATGGTGATTTTTTAATTTAGAAGTAGTGTTCATCATGGACTGACATCAGTTGGAGAACCATTGAAAATCTGGGAGCACTGGATACCTGTTTCGCCCTAGTATGGGACTCCTCAGTTGTACGCACCCACGGCCCGGCTAGGGATCGAACTCAGGACCTTCGCGAGGCTCTAATGAGAAGCCGTGACCTATGGGGTCAACCAGTCGGATGTGAAGTGAATGCTAACTGAAGACCTTGGGTGACAGTCACGCTATGTAGTGAATTGACAGACGTTGGAAATTGTGAACCACTGGGAACCGACCCAGTGGCTGAGTGGTTAACACGTTCGCCGTGAAACCTGAAGGTCCTGAGTCCGATCCCTAGCCGGGTCGTGAGTGCGTACAACTGAGGAGTCCCATACTAGGGCGAAACAGCTGTCCAGTGCTCCCAGATTTTCAATGGTTACCCAACTGATGTCAGTCCATGATGAATACTACTTCTAATTGAGCTTAACTCAATATTTTTCTCATTCATTTTATAACTGACGTAATCTTATGATGTTAAGCCACTCAATATTTTGGTTGTTATTCTCATTGTTGATTTTTATTCAACGAAAACTCTATGGGATTAGGCTTATAATTATGACATCTTACCATTTAATAACCTTCCTTAAATTTGCCGTAATGACTGACTTTTACTCTCTAAAGTCATTTTTCTGTCAATTTTAACAACTAATTGATATTCTATATAGTAATAGTGGGCAGTGGCTAGCAGTGGAATCCAGGACGCTCATTTCGTCCTGCCCATCATTACTATACATAACTGGAACACAGGCGATTTCGAAGCATACGCACAGGAGCACATATGCCAACAGAGACTCATCAATTCGGTCCAATCAACGGCGGTGTAATAATAAGCAATAACACTAAGCGATATTCTGTTTCATTTTAGTGAATTAAAGTATGTTAAATTTTCACTGAGACTATATATTTCAATATTCTAGGTTATAAGCAGCAAACAAAATACTAGTGAAATAAAATTCATTCCTTTTATCTTGCTCCTATTGTTGTTCTTGCCTTTTTAAAAATTCATAAAGGGGATTTACTGTATGAAAAAAAAATACAATATCCAAGGAATTTTGGAATGTTAATTCAGTTCCTATGTATCAAAACGTAAATGATTACATCATCAAGATTAGAAAAGATGGTGACTGTTACTACCTTCACATATAAGTACATCGGGTAAATCGAAGAAGAAATGAGAAATGGTTGCTTACTAAGTATTTACTATAGAGCCTGAATTTCAGACGTCAATATTTCATTTTAACAATGAATTATAATCCAACAAAATAATGGACACATGAAGTCAAATCTACACAATTATGTTTTATACACTTAGATTCCTCGGTAAATCTGGATAAAATGAGAAGAGTGAGATTTGCAGACTAATATTATTTTATTCTGAAAATTTTCGCCCTATTGATCTATCCGCATTAATGTTTGTTTTAGAGCCAGAGTAAAGTTTCCATATTATTATTATTATATTAGTCCCTTGGGTTCCTAATGGAACATATGGCTTCAGTAGCACTTCTCCAATGCCCTCTGTTCTCTGAAATCTTTTGAACCTGGCTCCACGACAGCCCACAAGCTCTCATTTCCTCCTCGCACCATCTCCTACATGTCACCCTTACCTCGGACACACACTCGTCGCTTCCCATGGGGATTCCACTCGAGCAACTGGCCTGACGCGTGATGTCCTCAGTCGGCCTTCTCAGTGCATGCCGAATCCATCTCCACCTCTTTCCAGTGCATATTTGTTGCGTGATAGGTTCTTGGTTGGTTCGTTCCCAGAGTTCCTTGTTGTTTATTCTTTCTGGCCATCTCCACTGATCTTCAGTAGCGAGCGTAAGCAGTTGTTGATGAATGTCTGTAGTTTGTTGGAAATCCCTTTCGTAACGCGCCAAGTCTCTCAACCATCACACAGAAGCACTGACTTGACTGACTTGGTGTTGAAAATCCGGATCTTGTTCCACATGCGGAGTGCAGTGCTGAAGATCTCCACACTGGTTTCAGGCTGATGGACGCCTGTCTTGCTTTTCCGATCCTGACTGGTTCTGACATCCTCGTCTGTCCCGCCACCTGTAGTTTAAACAGTGCTGCATGCCTAGATAGGTGAACGAGGTTACTTCCTTTAAGTTTCTCCCGTTCATGGTGACTGGAGTTTGTTCTTGTTGGTGGTGGTGCAGTATCTTCATCACCTCTGTCTTCTCTATATTCACTTGAAGTCCCGTCTTCGCTGCACTGCCCTGCCTCTTCTGACAACTTGTTAGTTTTTGCCTGTAGATCTTCAAGTTTGTGTGACATCAGGCACAAGTCATCGGCGAAATCCAACTCTTCTAGGTTCTTTTCCGCAGTCCAGCCAGTGTATCCCCCTCTTCTCGCTCCCCACTGTTTGTTGCATGATCCAGTCCAGACGACCACTATCAGGAATATCATGGGGGATAGTAGGCAACCTTGTTCCACTCCTGTCTTCACTTCAAAAGCATCACTAAGCTTCCCATTGTGAATTACTTGGCGTGTGGCATCTTTATATAGTTGTTGAATGAGGCTGATGAAGGTTTGCGGTATTCAATGGTATTGAAGCAGTTTCGGAATTACTTCGATGTCGACGCTGTCGAAGGCCTTCTCAAAGTCAATAAAGTTTCCATAACAAAACTAAATTTTCTGAAGGCCCATTGAAAAGTAAGGAGAGAGAGATAAATTTGAACTTGACTATTTACACTATTTTATCACAAAATAACCATACGGCACTAGAAGATGTTAAATGCTTCCCTATCTTAAAGGTATTGAATAGAAAAAAATCGAAATTTACTCAGCAACCTTGCGCAAATCAGTTCAGTAGGTAATGAACCATACCAATTGTGTAAGAGGGTAATCATCCAAAAAGCATACTGTTGCTGAAATTCCAAGAAATTTATGATTGGAAATTATCTTTAAATGTTATCTTGATGTAATCGTCTGAAAGTGCATAAATAGTTTATTTCACAACTTATAAACTAACTAAATAAAATGCTAGACATTACATTTTAGTTTTCATAGATTGGATAAGAGAACGAGTCAAGATTGGAAACCACTTTTTTGGAGCAATGAGTGAGATTCAAACAACTATCCAGAGACCTTGACGGTATAGCTTATGCATCTCCGTTGTCGACTGGATCAAACTGATCGACTGCTATTGGCATATAGGCTCCTGTGCGGATGCCTCAATATTGCCAGTATTTATCACATTTGATATTATTGATAGATAGTGGA